AGATAAGCCATCCGCGTCCAGATGCTTCTTTCCCGATTTATGTATTATATCGAAGTCATATTCTTGAATTTTCAATGCCCATCTTGCCAATCGACCTGTTGGATCCTTCAAGTTTTTGAGCCAGCATAAGGCGTGATGGTCTGTTACTATTTTAAAGTGTCTTCCATAAAGGTAGGGTCGTAATTTTGACATTGACCAGACAACGGCCAGACATTCTTTTTCAGTGGTTGAATAATTTTGCTCCGCTTTACTTAGGGTACGACTCAAATATGAGATCACCTTCTCTTCACCACCGATGTCTTGGACAAGTGTTGCACCTATGCCGATGTTGGACGCATCAGTATGAACATAAGTAGGTGCATTTGGATTGAAGTGACCTAAAATTGGTGGACTTAATAGTGCTGTTTTTAGGGTTTGAAACGCTTCCTCTTGTCTTTCTGTCCAGGTAAATGATACACTTTTTTTTATAAGGTTGGTCAAAGGGTCAGCAATTTTTGAAAAGTCTTTGATAAATTTTCTATAATATGAACACATTCCCAAAAAGGATTGTACTTCTTTGACCTTTTTGGGTCGAGGAAAATTTCTGACAGCTTTGATGTTATGTTCCGCGGGTTTTATACCATGTTTGCTCGTTATATAGCCGAGAATCTCCAATTCTTCAAAAGCAAATCGGCATTTTTTGTCGTTTAACCTTAAATTAGATTCACGAAAACATCTAAAAACAGCTTCAAGTCTTTTGAGGTGCGTTGGAAAATCCGGGCTATATATGATAACATCATCCAGATAACACAAACAAATTTGCCATCTCAGATTTTCAAGCATATTCTCCATATTTCTCTCAAAGGTAGCAGGCGCGTTACAAAGTCCAAAAGGCATCACGTTGAATTCATATAATCCATGCGCTGTAGTGAAAGCTGTTTTCTCTTTGTCTCTTTCTTCGACTTCAACTTGCCAATATCCAGATCTGAGGTCTATTGCTGAGAAGTGTGTAGATCCTTGGAGAGTATCCATAACTTCGTCTATTCTAGGGATCGGATAGACATCTTTTACTGTCACATTATTCAGTTTTCTGTAGTCCACACAAAATCTGTATTTACCATCTCGCTTCTTGACCAATATTACTGGAAAAGACCAGGGGCTAGAAGATGGCCTAATTATGCCTTCTGTAAGCATCTCGTCAATTTGCTCTTTTATAATATCTCGTTCTTTAGCACTTACCCGGTAAGGCTTGTGTTTAATTGGCTTCGCGTCTTCTGTGTCTATCCGATGTTTTGCCAAATTGGTTCTCCCTAATCTCGATGAAAACAGATCTTCATACCTTTCTAAAACTTGTTTTAACTCCTTCTGTTCCTTTGGTGAAAGATTTTCGTTTATTTGGAATCTAGGTTCTTCGTTCTTTTCTACCTCTCTTTCTCGACTCACATTTATTTTCGCTGGACTACTTCCAAAAGCCAATGTTTGGTTTTTCATTATTTTTAACGGTCGAGGATACGGATTAGTTATCCAGATGTGTGTTTCCCTATTTATAACATTGATCAAGCTTCTTGCTAGACGAAGTCCATTTGTTTGAAACATTTTGCTGCTCTCCTCGATAATATATTCTCCATCCTCTGTTTCTACCAATGCCTTGATCAATTTCATGGAACATTCCGGTACAATGGAATCCTTGGCACTCTTTATTTTCAACATTTCAAAATTGATTTCGTCATGATTATTCGTCAAATCATATTTTATAGTTTCTTGCTTACAATCTATTTTTGCGTTCATTTTCTTAAGGAAATCTCTCCCAAGAATTAATGTCCGTAAATGCGTTTTCAATATCACAAAGTTGTGTGATAATGTTTCGTCATCAATTTTTATATTTAAAAATATACTTCCTACCCTGTCCAATTTTTTTCCATCGGGTCCTGCACAAATTTTTGCGAGTTTACTTATACCATGGCCTGTATCGAGGGCCGTTCTGAGGTCGACCACTGAGAGGTCAGCACCTGTATCAACCAAAGCTTCAAAAGTCCCTATCTTGTCCACATTAATTTTTAATTTGTATTTAGGGTCCAACTTCTTGATTCCGTTTATGGTCGACTTGCTTTGATTGACAGATTCAGGCGCGACGCTTAGTTTAAATCTTCCAACACGGAATATCTATTCCGGGTAGGAATATTTGTCTGTGTGCTATGACATACATCAGCATAAAGCCGAGGTCCTGATTTCTCTGATATTTCATTCATTTGGCATTTTTCTTCGACCTTCTCTTGGGTATCTGCTGGATCCTCTTCTAGGATTCTTATAAACTTGACCCTACAATAACGGGCCACGTGCCCTGGCTTGTTACATTTAAAGCAGATTGGTCTTCCATCTTCCGTCCTATTTTTGCTCACTTCTTGGCTTTTATTGTAAGTGTTTCTCTGAAGGTTTGGTTTCGGCACAAAGTTAGGATTATAAGGACGTCTAGGGGTAGAGGGCTGGGGAAAGTTGTTTCGATACTGTCTGGGGGTAGGATGGGAGTCGTTCTTGTAATTATTGGAAACAGGGGCTTGGGGCCTGGAAGTGGTCTGGTAGTTTCGTGCGGCAGTCGGCGGCACGTACCTCGATTGTTGTTGGGGTCTAGAATAGCGTGGACCGTTATATAGATTTCTGGATTTCTCCACACGTTCCCGATACTTCTTTTCAAAAGAATCCATTTTCTTGCACACGACAAGTAGGTCATCGGTCGTTTTAGGAGGGTTCAGGTAGAGCGCGAATGAGTACTCTTTTTTCAGTCCTCCAATAACATGTTCAATTTTTGTTTCTTCTTCCATTGCGGGGTCAACCTTGTTGCACAACACTAGAATGTCTTCCGCGAACCTGATTGCTGGTTCATTCCAGTGTTGCATTCTGTTGAGCTTCATTCTAAGTTCTTCTTTATTCGCGTCCAAAGAAAAATCCTGAATGAGGCGGATTTTAATATTTTCCCAGCTCGTGAAACTAGCTTTGTGTAAATTCAACCAGGTTTTAGCGCTTCCCGTCATGTTCATGGCGGCATAACGAGAGATAATGTAGTCTGCCCAATGGTACAAGAAGCCAATTTCTTCAAGAGATTCAATCCATGGGCGAGGGTCTTCCGTTCCATCATACTTGGGGATGTCGATGTTGGGATTCAGGACAACTGGGTCGGAACTAGCATCTCTACCAATTGTTACACCAGGTTGCGGCTTGGCAGACTCTTCAGCCTGGATTCTCTCCTGTGCTGGGTCTTGCATCTTACCAGAGCGTGTTTCAACCATCCTACAAATTTATAAAAGGGAATAACGAGATAAGTCTTCTTTAAGTAGCCACCAGAATCCTTTATTTATTTTCTCACATCAAAGAGAGCAGTGAAGTCACAGTGTACCTAAATACAAATGATGATAAATTAATAATCTGTTTTAAATAAATATCATAGAATATTTTATATAAAAATAAATAAATATATAATTTAAATTTCAAATATATTAAAACTAATATAAGAAATACGCCATTAATCATGATGTAACAATATAATAATATATATTTATATTATATATAATACTAGACGTATGACCCGGCTTCGCCCGAGAATTCCCCCGATTGCAATTTCCTTCATACTGAAAGTACATCAATAATAAATATTAAAAGTGCCATAGAATAGCAATACAGAAGTAACACATAAACTACAGGAAAAAAGTGTGTGTGATGGCAAAAATTGTATTATATTAGTGTTTAGGCATTTGATTTAATTAATATAGTTGATATAATAATATATATTTATATTATTTATTAGCGGATGTGTACCCGGCTTCGCCCGGGTTTTATCCGAGTAAAAGTTTGCCTAACGAATATTATATATTATGAAGTATAATAAACAATGTTAAAGATTAGTTTTAATTATTAATCAAGATTGTGTGTGAATATGTGAGAAAGATGTAATATCGTTGTTGTTTTCTTGGCCGACTGTTTTACATATGGTGTTATTTTAAAATTGCTTGTTTTGAATATTTTTTTAGATTGAGTTGAATGAATTGCTGAATTTTTTTTTGTATTTATATATAAATAAAATTAACTCTGTTGATTTTTTTTGTATTTAATCGATAACAGCGAAGTTACGCATGTTAAAGTTAGGAAAAATATTTTGATGTTAAGCAAAACCTGCTCCATCTCGTTTTACATAAATGTTGAAAATTTGGTCGAAATTGATGCATTGTAACGAAAGTTTTTAGCGAACACCACTTATGGAATTTGCATTTTATTAATATCTATATTAATAAAATGGAAATTTCATAATTGGTGTTCGCTAAAAACTTTCGTTACAATGCATCAATTTCGACCAAATTTTCAACATTTATGTAAAACGAGATGGAGCAGGTTTTGCTTAACATCAAAATATATTTCCTAACATTAACATGCGTAACTTCGCTGTTATCGATTAAATACAAAAAAAAATCAACAGAGTTAATTTTATTTATATATAAATACAAAATTAAATTTCAACAGAGTTAATTTTTTTACATACTAGCTAATAATCTCAATCTAAAAAATATTCAAAACAAGCAATTTTAAGATAACACCATATGTAAAACAGTCGGCCAAGAAAACAACAACGATATTACATCTTTCTCACATATTCACACACAATCTTGATTAATAATTAAAACTAATCTTTAACATTGTTTATTATACTTCAACTTTTATTTCTACATTTGTTTTTAAATACCCAATTGTTTTATCATGTTTCTAATTTCGCCTAACAAATATACAAATTTATAGTGACCAACATATGCAAATTTTATCTTTGTTTTTATTTAACTTGATATCGTAAACATAACATCCATTGTAAGCATTTTTCTGTTCACCTTCCGTGGTTTCTCTTTTCTCTGATAGTTTTTAGGTGTAGTATATTTTCTTATTACTAGACTACAAACATTCCCTCAAGAAAAACCTGGGCGAAGCCGGGTACATCCGCTAGTAGATAATATAAATGAGTTTTAAAAATTGTAAAAAAAAAATGCATCAGCCGGGAATCGAACCCGGGCCGCCCGTGTGGCAGGCGAGCATTCTAAATACCAAAAATACTAATCAAAATGTAGCCGAAATTTTTCCTCAGTTTTATAAAAAGCGACATGCAAAATTTGGTACCAATTGGTTCAGTAGTTTTTGAGTTTATCGCGAAACAGACAGACAGAAATTGACTTTTATATATATACTAGCCGAATGACCCGATAAAACGCCCGTGTTTTACCCGATTAAATGTTTTTATTTAAATACTATTCGTTACAATTATAAATTGGCGGCGTGGATGTCACTCTTGTGAAACGTCCCGCTCCAAACTTTGTGTCTGAGAAGCGATATTTTTATAGAAAGATGATCTGGCTTTTGTTTTCTGCTCGAATGAACGTTTTTTCTGTAAGAATTTTGTTCTGCGTACAAAATAATGAGCTGGTTTCACCCGTGGTCTCTGCTTTTTGGAATTTTTCCCGATATAATTTTGTATCTGATAATTATCAGATTACATGATACAGCAATATCGTCATCATCATTTTCTGACTAATAATATATAGTTTTAATAATTGATTTATATATTTTTTAAAATAGCCTATCGTCTTCCCCGTATTTTTTTTACCTATGTATGGAAATTTTGGTTTGAATTAGTGAACTACAGCGAATTTGTATACCGGACATACAAACCAACAAACAAACAAACAAACATACAAACATTCATCAACATATATAGTCACGACCGTCTTTCCTCCTCAATCAATTCCTCAATTCCTCATGTCACGGATGCGCGCGCATCATCATTATGATCATTATCATTATCTAATGATAATAATAATAATAATTATTATTATTATTATATTATTATTATTATTATTATCAATATATATAGTCACGACCGTCTTTCCTCATCGCTGTCCTCAATTCCTCATGTCACGGATGCGCGCGCATCATCATTATGATCATTATCATTATCTAATGATAATAATAATAAATAATTATTATATTATTATTATTATTATTATCAACATATATAGTCACGACCGTCTTTCCACCGTCAATCAATTCCTCAATTCCTCATGTCACGGATGCGCGCGCATCATCATTATGATCATTATCATTATCTAATCATAATAATAATAATTATTATTATTATTATATTATTATTATTTTATTATCAACATATATAGTCACGACCGTTTCCTCAATTCCTCAATTCCTCATCGGCCGCTGTCACGGATGCGCGCGCATCATCATTATGATCATTATCTTCTATAGAAGCTTCTATCTTTATAATTATGTATATTTACAAAAAGTCAATTCGTTCGCGTCTCTAGCGGTGAAAATGAGGGGTAATACTAGCTGACCTAATGTACATGTAAAGTTTGGAGCGGGACGTTTCACAAGAGTGACATCTACGGCTCCAATTTATAATTGTAACAAATAGTATTTGAATAAAAACATTCAATCGGGTAAAACACGGGCGTTGCCCGGGTCATTCGGCTAGTTAATATATATAGTCACGACCGTCTTACCTCATCGCTGTCCTCAATTCCTCATGTCACGGATGCGCGCGCATCATCATTATGATCATTATCATTATCTAATGATAATAATAATAATTATTATTATTATTATTATTATCAACATATATAGTCACGACCGTCTTTCCACCGTCAATTCCTCATGTCACGGATGCGCGCGCATCATCATTATGATCATTATCATTATCTAATGATAATAATAATAATTATTATTATTATATTATTATTATTTTATTATTATCAACATATATAGTCACGACCGTCTTTCCACCGTCAATTCCTCATGTCACGGATGCGCGCGCATCATCATTATGATCATTATCTTCTATAGAAGATTCTATCTTTATAATTATGTATATTTACAAAAAGTCAATTCGCTCGCGCCTCTAGCGGTGAAAATGAGGGGTAATACCAGCTGACCTAATGTACATGTAAAGTTTGGAGCGGGACGTTTCACAAGAGTGACATCTACGGCTCCAATTTATAATTGTAACAAATAGTATTGGAATAAAAACATTCAATCGGGTAAAACACGGGCGTTGCCCGGGTCATTCGTCTAGTTTTTATATATATAGAAGATATAATATAAATGAGTTTTAAAAATTGTAAAAAAAAATGCATCGGCTGGGAATCGAACCCGGGCCGCCCGCGTGGCAGGCGAGCATTCTACCACTGAACCACCGATGCTTATAAAAATGTCCATATTTGGGTATTCATTCCATTCCGGATTACTCCGCATAAAAAAAAGTTCTTCAAATGAAAAAAATAAATAGCCAAAAATACTAATCAAAATGTAGCCGAAAATTTTCCTCGGGTTTATAAAAAGCGACATGCAAAATTTGGTACCAATTGGTTCAGTAGTTTTTGAGTTTATCGCGAAACAGACAGACATTGACTTTTAAATATAGAGAGATATTACCAAAAATATTTTTGGTCGCAGTGGTACAGCCTACTCCACGCTGACGAGCGCCAACGCCACGAAACGCGTTCGTGGATGGTTTTTCTTGATTTATCAAGAAATTGGGTTGGCCAAATATCAGGGAAAAGGCTAAATCAATGTTTAGTTGATTTCTGTTCCACTAGATGGCGTTCTGCCATCTGAAAAGCACATGTGCTCCTGGTCAGGAAATGCCTTTTTTATTTTTAATATCAACATCTGACCTTTTTATTTATTTATTTTTCCATTATTTGTTCATATATTACTCTGAATTGGTTCACTAAAGTCTACCAAGACAGACTCCTAAACCACAGGACAGCCCGGATATAATGAGATCTATGAATACGCTCCAAGAGCCTGGGTTACCTTCATGTTACTGCTACACCTGAATTAAATGAAGGTAACCCAGGCTCTTGGAGCGTATTTATAGATCTCCCTATATCCTGGCTGTCCTGTGGTTTAGGAGTCTGTCTTGGTAGACTTTAGTGAACCAATTCAGAGTAATATATGAACAAATAATGGAAAAATAAATAAATATAAAGGTCTGATGTTGATATTAAAAATAAAAAAGGCATATCCTGACCAGGAGCACATGTGCTTGTGCAAGTGCGTGTGCACATGTGCTTCATGTTACTGCTACACCTGAATTAAAACGCTCCAGGAGCACGGGTTACCTCTATTTTCTCTCCTGAATTAAATATAAGAAGTATAAATACATTAAAGTAATCAGTATTATTAATAATTAAGTTTTGACATTATCTTGAAGATAAGGGGTTGTACCTGAGCCACATTCATAGTCCATAAATATAAGAGACACCTTTGCCAGAAAAGGTTCTTATTTTCTCAACGTTTCGACAAAAAAAAAATTGTCCTCGTCAGGAAAAAAATAAAAATTAAAGCATTTCACAATCTATATATATATATAAATGAATGTATGTGTGTGTGTGTCCTTTATGCCTGACCAAACTATTCCTTTAACTTCCAATTACCGAGGGAACCAATTAATATTGATTTTATTCAACTTATCGAGTATTTTTCAAGGGACCGGGAAAAATGTTCACTAGATAAAACGATTATTTTGTAATGTAGAAAATTAGGAAGGACAAAATTCAGGATGACACGGCACACAGGGACCGGGAAAAAATATTCACTTTATCGAGAGATTCAAATTTACGAGTTTAAATTATCAAAATATATCTATTATTTTTTTAAAAATAAGTTTATAGAGAATTGTTTTGACAAATGTTCGTTAGACAAACCTTTACTCAGGTAAAACCCGGGCGAAGCCGGGTACATCCGCTAGTGAATTATAAATGCATATTAATATAATAACTTTATTTTTCAAAAAGGTTACAAGTTTTTCTCTAAAAAGTGTAACAAATGGTCAGTCTATTTACATTTTTTTAAATTTACAACTTCAATAAACTGTAAAAGTAAACAAAGATATTTACATTTGTTATCTTGACTCCTGGTCAGTGCTGTGGCCCTCGCAGATATGGTCCTCTGATGTCCTGAAGCTCTCCAGCAGTCTTTCTATGGCCTCTCCTGGTGGTTAATATAATATAATAATAATATAAATTGCCAGAAACTTCTTTCTTTTGTACATAATTCTTTTTCTCGTTTTTCTCTCTCTCTCTCTTTCTCATTGTTAACATCATATGACTATTCTATTCACGACCTAAAATTATTGTATATACAACAACAACAACAACAACAACAACAAAAAGTCTTTATTAAGACACTATTGTCTTACAAAGGGATTCCCCATAAGGGTTATATATGTACATGAATGAGGAGGAAAAGCAATTTAGAGGGGAGGGGTGGCATTTCAGCCGTTGTCTGTGGAGTTAAGCACTTCTTCCCTCATTTTATCAATCGCCTTGAAAAATTTAAAATATTTATAAACAAATGTTTTATCCAGCAGGAGAATAGCAAACATTTTATATAAATGTTGTTCATAAATTATTGTATATATACATTATGTATAGACAAATGTAAAGGTATACATGTATGACAGCGCAAGTGTCCTTAGGGGGACATAGCGCTTTAAATTGAAATAAAATAATAATAACAAAGTGTTATAAATGTAGCTGAGGTTGGAATCTCTTCGAAACGTCGATAAAATAAGAAAATTTCCTAGCCGAGATGTCTCTTCTTCTTCTTCTTTCTTATCTCCACTCAATCATATTATAGTGTATCAAGCTTGTAAAACTTGAGATTATGACTGGGTGAAGTAGAATGCGTCTACCTTTGTCATTAAGACTGGGAGTACTACTCAGTGGCAGGCCGACTTAGCTCCAAAAGAAATGGACGCCTCTGACATGAGGAACAGATGCCATGTGCAGCCGCTCCTGACATGGAGTACAAACGTTGCTCATCCTGTATCCCTGGAGCCCTTACAGGGTACTATCAGCATGGCCAGCTGAACCCAGGTTATTTAGTAAGCTTGTTACTGCTCCCCCTCCTCCTTTTTCATCCGGGCTTGGGACCGGCAAAGGCGGAGTTGAGAGGTGTCTCTTATAGTTAAGAACTAAGTTTTGACAACCCAGAATTAGAATTAAAAGCACGAAACCGAAATAGGTTTTTTTCTGAGTTCCTGGTAAATAGCCTTA